CATCAAAGCCTGCATGTAACCCACTTTCTGCTACCCATTTCCCATTCCAATTCAAAGCCAACACCAACATATTTGGTTTTGTTTTATTAAGCTCTTTCCAAAAGCTCTCCTTTGTTCTTCTTCTATGAACTTTGTTTTTTCAGGTCTGTCAAGATTGCTGGTTTATTCTCTCTCGTTTATTCTATCAAAAGATTCATCAAAAAGCTGAAAATGGTACGAGAAATGGAGCAGGAGGAAGAGAATTACAGGTCCAAATTCTTCAATTCAAACATAAAACACTCCAAAAGCTTGAGCTTGGAGAGTTTAATAATAATAATGTTTTGTTTTCCAACAGAAACCAGGGATTAGCTCCCCCAGACGACGGCGGGTTGGACAAACCCCCCGCTAATGGACCGGACAAAGGCCCTAAATCCAAGCCCTCCAGAGATGATGCTGCAGTTAAACAGCCAAAAGATCAGCCACCAACAGGTTCAGACATCTTTTTGTCTGTTTTATTTTCTGTTCTCTGAAATTATAAACTATAGTTTATGACTTCTCAAAATGAGTTGTAACATTATGATTATTTATATTATATGGTTGACATTCTGATGTTCGTGACATTTTCATTGCATAGATGTCTAATCCTATTGTCTTGTATGAACTAAAAGGCCATTATTGAGGTTGGTTTAAAATTGGTGTGTTCTTCTTGGATATGATCAGAAATAGAACAGATGAAGGAGAGGTTTGCTAAGTTGCTTTTGGGCGAAGATATGTCCGGTGGAGGAAAGGGTGTTTCGTCGGCTTTAGCATTGTCGAATGCAATTACGAATCTTGCAGGTATGTCGTTCGTGTATCGGTCTTCTGTTTTGTGTCGATAATATCGACGATATCAGTTGAATTGTGCTCGGTTAGATGCTGCTAGAGGAAGCAAATCTAGATAAGTTTTGTAGTTGAATCTAGGGAGTCAAGTTTTCATCTTTCTCCTATGGTTTTTGCAGCTTCTGTTTTCGGGGAACAATGGCGTCTCGAGCCGATGTCGGTAGGGAGAAAAACACGGTGGAGAAAAGAGATTGACTTGCTATTATCAGTCACTGATTACATTGTTGAATTTGTTCCTTCCCAACAGAAATCCAAGGATGGAACAAACATGGAGGCAATTTTTTCTCTCCCTCTCTCTTTCTGAGCTTCAAAATGCATTTATAGATCATAATTCAGTTCATGTTCTTTGAATTAACAGATTATGGTTACCCGACAACGCAACGATCTTCACATGAACATCCCGGCATTGCGGAAGCTCGATGCGATGCTTATTGTAGGAAAAGATTGCTAATCTTGCTCTACTTTTTGTCCTGTTTAATAAGATTTAATGAATCTTTCTAATGGTTTCACATGATGTATAGGATTGTTTGGATAATTTTAAGGACCAATCCGAGTTCTACTACTTATCCAGAGATTCAAGTGATTCAAATAAAGACAATGCTTCAAAGAGAAAAGATGACAAATGGTGGCTACCTACTCCAAAAGTTCCTGAGAATGGTTTATCTGAAAACTCAAGGAAATTTATGCAGTACCAAAAGGATTGTGTAAACCAAGTCCTTAAAGCAGCCATGGCTATCAATGCACAAGTTCTATCAGAAATGGAGATCCCAGAAAACTACATAGAGTTATTGCCTAAGGTAAATTTTGACTCCACGTCGGTTGGAGAGGAGAACGAAACATTCCTTATAAGGTTGTGAAAACCTCTCCCTATCAGACACGTTTTAAAATCTTGAGGGGAAACCCGTATGAGAAAGTCCAAAGAGGACAATGTCATAAATTCTCTATCTTTCATTGATTTTGTGATTGAATATGTAAACTTGCAGAATGGGAGGGAAAGCCTTGGTGACTCCGTGTACAGAAACATAACGGTCGAGTACTTCGACCCGGATCAATTTCTGTCTACCATGGACTTATCTTCAGAGCACAAGATCTTAGATATCAAGGATAGAATTGAAGCTTCCATTGTGATATGGAAGAGGAAAATGAATCAGAAAGATGGAAAATCTGCTTGGGGTTCAGCTGTAAGCTTGGAGAAACGAGAGCTTTTCGAGGAGCGAGCGGAAACGATTCTACTCATCCTCAAACATCGTTTCCCAGGCACTCCTCAATCAGCATTAGACATCAGCAAAATCCAATACAACCGGGTGCAAAACATGTTTTTTGGAAAGTACTTGTGTTTAAGACATTATATGACTTCTTAAATCTGGTCTAATGGGAGAGTGGTTTGGTTTTATAGGATGTTGGACAGGCTGTTCTAGAGAGTTACTCAAGAATTCTTGAAAGCTTGGCCTTCACAGTGATGTCAAGGATTGAGGACGTACTCTATGCGGATTACATCGCTCAAAATCCATCACAAGTATCGAGTAAGAAGAACTCGACACGGGAAACCGCAGTGAGCTCAGGAGAAGAGCCACAAAGTGCTGCAGAGACACCTACTTCAATGACACTATTGGATTTCATGAATTGGGGTCCGGATATTGCTGATAATGAGGTAAAGAAGGAATCACCAACAGAGAATGCAGAAAATATGTTCACAGAAACTGAACCAAGGCCTGTGCAAAAGCTTCAAACATAGTGACCAACAACAAGTTGGTTTCTTACCTCGAGAACATAGGGGGGACGAAAAGCCCTTACGGCACGACATTGACACGACACATAACAGAAGAACACAACACAGTTAATAGCTCAACCTACTTTTGTCTGAGTTTTCTTTAGAGCTGTAATTACCAAGTCCATTCAATTCATTCCTGTTGTACATATGAAGGAAGAGCACAAGTAATTTGGTTTTGGAGTCTTTTTTTTAATATGGTTCTTCTACAGGGCTAAGTTTTAGTCAATTTTGTTAGAAAGAATAAGTCTTTTTAACCCATATCTTCATCAGTTTTTCAAAGAAACTGGCAAGAACACTTTGTAAAAGTACATTCATTACATAATAACAATTTCTCAACTGAAACATAACTGGGCGGATAAGAGAGAAAATTTACATACTGCAAAAGGATTTGAGAGCGAATTAGATCTTGCCACGAGGCCCAAGCTTTGGTGGAAGTTGAGGTCCTTTCTTGATGGGAAGAACATCATCTGGGGCAGTGGCACTGTAATAAGCTAAAGTGGCTCCACCGCCTAGAAGCAAGAACTTGAGCAACAATCCTCTCTTGGTGAATGGAGCGGCAAACGTCTCAAAGAATTTGCTCTATAAATACACCAAAAAGACGGAATGCTTGCCCCGTTACATGGTTAAAAATAGACTTACACAGGCACCCCTTATAAAAAATGTTCCGTCTCCCTCTTTAAAATCAATGTGAGATCTCATAATCCACCCCACTTGAGGGCCTAGTGTCCTCTAATACCATTTGCAATAGCCCAAGTTCACCACTAGCGAATATTGTCCGCTTTGGCTCGTTACATATTGTCATCAGCCTCACGGTTTTAAAACACGCCGATTAGGAAGAGGTTTCCACACCCTTATAAGGAATGCTTTGTTACTCTCTCCATCCAATGTGAGATCTCATAATCCACCCCTCTTGGGGGCCTAGCATCCTCGTTGGCGCATCACTCGGTGCCTAACTTTGATATTGTTTGTAACAGCTCAAGTCCAATGCTAACTGATATTGTCTACTTTTGCCCGTTACATATCGTCAACAACCTCACGATTTTAAAATGCGTCTATTAGAGAGAGGTTTTCACACTCTTACAAGAAATGTTTCGTTCCCCTCTCAAACGAGATCTCATTATCATTCTAATTTTATTAAAGCTAGAGAATGAGCTACAAACCTGAAGAGAATTGTATGGTGAAGGAGCATCAGATCCATACAAATCCCACTGTCCAGTAGTGTTGCCCAAATCCTCCAAATCGAAGTAAACACTTTTGTCACCGTACTTAGCCACCACAGCACCAGCCCTGAAAACAGAGTAACAAAAAGGGGAAAAACCCCACAAGTTCATGAAGTTTCAAATCAATATGCACCAAAATAAAGAAGAAATTAGAGAAATTTGTGGTACTTGAAGCTTTTTGGTCTGAAGCTCTGGCGAGAGGGCCTGAGAGGGAGCTTAGTTCCGGCAAGGGAGCTTCCACCAAGGCCCTTTACGGTGACCGGCTGAACGGCGGCTAAGGTTGCTAAGGAAGCCATTGTTGTCTGCGTTTTGTATTGAAAAGGAACAAACTTGGAGTTGCAGGCTGAGGGAGGAGGTGAGGCTTCAAATGGGGTTTTGATCCTTTGATTGGATTTTCTTTTGACACGTGGCGAAATGGGATTTTGGAAGACAATTTGGAGTGTCACTTAGGAAGTGCCACGTTGGAAGGAGGTGGATAAGCCTATCCTTGTTGATATGGTGGAAGATTTTGGACCTTGCCTTGGGCTTTCGTTGTCATTGTTAGAGGAGATTTGTGTGTATCCAAGTAAATTATGATGCTTCTCCGGTAAAACTTCAATGGCAATTTTAAATACTAACATGAATCATTGACTAACTCGTTGTTGGTAAGTTTTGTGAACTAATAAACTTGATTTATAGAATAAATTACTAACTTATGGATCACGCACTTAAATTGATACTAAAATTGATAGTAGTTGTTAAATTGTGGAATTGATAGTAGTTATTAAATTGTGGAACTAGTAGTATCAGTTTGGTGCTTTTAATTAGTAAGAACATTTAGGAAGCGAGTAAGAGCTTTCTCTATAGTAAATACTCATGAGATGTATACTCTTTTCACAATTACAACAACACAAAAATGAAAATCCCCTCAAGTTTACCCTTTTTTTATTTTACTTGTTTGAACATATTTCGATCCTGAGTCAAATCCAACAAATCAAATATCATTCATTAAGAACAATAAACTCTCCATGTCTAAACAATAATATGATCTTGTCCATTTTCGACATAAATTCTCATGATTTTGTTTTGCACTGTTGATGATTATTCGTTAAAATCAAATTTGTAACATAAAAACTAACTCCACTCAAACAAATTAAAGCAAAACCCACATGGAAAAAAGGATAATATAGGCTATATGGATCAATTATAGGTTATGTATCAATCTTCCTCACAGCTCATGCTAGTTTTGATATTTTTTAGCGTACAACTAATGATGTTTTTAACGTACTCAACAGATTCCATGGTGTGTTTTGCAGAGGGAGAGGCGTCGGTGAGGATTTGAACGGCGGCAGTCAGCAGAACGCCGCCATTGGTGTCGGCGGTCTTGTCGTCTTTCTGTCGGGTGATGAGGAGGGGCGGCCTGGACACAGCGCCGTCGGGGAGAATTGAAAAGCCAGAAGGGAGAATGGTGAGGCTGCTGGAATCGCAGCCTGTCATCACCGACTGCATGCCGGTAACGTCTACTCCGGAGTAAACCACCATGGATTCCGACGAGTTTGTGGAGCTGTCTTGGAGGATCCACATGCTGCTGCTGCTCTCTTTTGATCCAATTGTCTGCAACTTTTAGCCTTTCCATTAGCCATTCTGAAATGAAAAAAATCTAAAATTTCATGAACCAATCATTAGTTACTTGAATGGTAACTGAGTTGCCTCGATCTTGTCCTTTAGCTAAATTTGCAATCGACTTAGCTTCATCTCCACCAAACATAACGTCCCACTAAAATAAAATAAAATAAAATAAAATAAAAAACCTTTTGTTGTACCTAAGAGAAAGCAAGTGAATCACATTTACTCACCCACAAACCCAAATTTAAAAATATAGACCGGTTGGAGAGAATAAATTTCCTTAATCCACAAGTAGCCATCACTCTCAATAACCAAAGTGTTTATAAAGTGTATATCTCACTTTTCAAAGTCTGTTGATAAATTTACTCAAAATATCACCTAACAAATACAAAATGATACTCAAACTTAATCAAACTCAATCATCCTAGATAACCCTTGAAGCATTAATATCATAGATGAATCGAAATGGAAAGATAAATGAAATAAATGAGAGATGAATTAAACACAGAGTTATGAGCAAAATAAATGAGAATCATGAACGGTTATAAACTAAATAAATAAGAGTTACATAGATTATGAACTAATAAATAAGAGCAGTAAATCATTGTTATAAATGAGAGTTATGAACTAATGAAATTATTCTTCCAACCAATCTTAAGTTGGTGGGTGGTAGGAGAACTGATAGGTTCACGTATGAATACTCGAATGTTTTACCTGATGTCGACAAGCTTGGTCTCTCAGGAAATGAAAGAGAAGGTGAGGAGAAACAGGCAGCCATAGAGAAGAAACTGAACACAAAATAGCTCCAATGGGTTCACCAAGGTCACTAGGATTCTTCCTGGAACAAACCCTAATGTCTTCCCCTGTTTTGCCCACAACCTTGGTCCATGTCTGATAACTTGAAGCTGCTATTGCTTGGGAGAAGCTTGAACTCATTCTCTGTGCCAACTTTAATGTGCTTTTTCTACCCGCTAGTGTTGCAACTCCTGAATACGTAACGTTTCAAACTTCCAGTTTCAATAAACTGCCTACGTGGAGCTACACATACATATCTATCTATCTATATATATATATATATATATATATACACATGTAGTATGCATGCATATGTGTATATATATATTGTAAGACATAAGACTAATTTATAAATATTTTTTTTTAATCGTCATATTCTTATTTTTTATGAAATGTTATTACATTTATTAGAATCAAAGAATTCTAATCCTACTGATTTCAAAAAATTTCAAGAAAATTGGTTTATTATTTTATACAATTTTTATTTTTTTTCTCTATATAACTATACAATACATAAAATCTAAGTTTCCAAGAATTTATTACATATTTTTCTATTAAATGGTTCAAAAACATTACTCTCAAAATTCATATACTAGGATGGTTAGAAAATAAACGTAAAGTTTTTATTTAATTAATTTTCAATTTTTTGAATTTAAAAAATTAATGTAACTAAGCAATAATGGCACCTTTTACTGGAAAAAATTATTTGGTGAGACTGTTATAACGTATTAGTTTCTTAATAATCGTTGAATGTAGATTAAAAAAATTTGTATGGTATATTCTTTATTGTTAGTTCTAGTTATGAAGTTGGGTTAGAAGGAAGATGAGGGCTAACCAGTTGAGTCTTTCATGGGGATGTTGGTTGCCATGAAGAAAGCAAGGCGTTCGCATTGGAGTTGGAGAGTTGCCATCCAACGTTTTGCCCCAAAGCCACCGCCATTGTTGATTAAGTTTCTGAACAAGTTATGAACTTTGTTCTTTTGACATTCCAAATGCTCCACCATTGTTACCAGAAAAACCTTCCACTTTTATGAATCGATTGGAGATTTGAATCTTTCGATTCGAAGTAAAAGCATACCTTACAATGACCATTAAATTCATCCTTAATGATGCAGCCAGAAGGACGTTTTCTATATTTCACCAATGATACGTCGATATTATTATCTTCGACATTTTCGATTGAAACATCGACAATCGCCCATCGTTCAGCGTCGAGCTGCTTGCAATGCCGGATGAAATACATCTCTCTTGTGGACACTAATGGTGTAAGCATTTGTACCTCTGCAAACATCTGTAGTACACAATGAATGAGCCATTTTTAACTCATCTAGCTCTCATTTATAGGCCTCGTACTCAAAATTAAGGCTCACCAATTGCACTGCGCCGTCCCAATTGGCAATCCCTCCATTACAAATAACATCAACCGTAGCTGCCTTCGAGATCATGAAAGGAAACATCTCCTTCCATTGATTCTACCAACAAACCATAAATGAGAATGGAAGAAAGACATCGTAGGAAACAAAAACACGACAAAAGTCTATGTTCGAAATGTTAAAACATCATTACTGAGTCAATAAGATCAAGCAACTAGTTTATATTCATTTTAGGAAGATGAATTAGTTATTTTAGGAATAGATGGTTAGTCTGTACTTAAATTTTTATCTCAAGAAGTATAAATGACTGGTATAAAGTGTTTAGAATGTCTTGTATCTCTTCTCGATTGGTGTTAATAAAGAATGTGATTGTTTTTCACAAAGAGTCGTGTTCAACACAAAATTTGTTTATTTACTTCGTCCATGTTCGAAATGTCAAAATATCATAATTAGTTCAATAGAGTCGAGTCTAATAATGATACGAGCCTGTATTCATTTTAATATTTATTGTCTAAGGTTTATTATAAATATCCCTCACGCTCCACTATCATATCTAGGTTTTCATTCTAGCACAGAGTGTTTGTGCTACTTAGTAATTTCCATAAAAAGTTGTGTTGAACACGAAATTTGTTTATTTACCTCATCCATGAAGCTTTGAACCAACCTTGAGGGCTCCATGAAGACAAGGGCCGTCTCACGAGAGGCCTCGATGTGGGTTTTGAGCCAACTACGGTTAGAATCATTGTTGAGATGGAAGGTTTTTAAGTACTCGTCGTAGTTTAATATCTCTCTTCCGGTCTCGACGCTGAGGACCCAAAGACTGTCGCCGGCTGCAGCCATTGTTTTGAGCTCTTCTAGAGCTTGATGAACCTTCTCCATGATCCTTGACTTTTCAAGCCGGAAAATTCCTGTGTAATAATCTAAGCAGCTTTGGTTCGTTTCTTGCTCGTTCTCCGATGAGTATGACAGAGACACCGCTGCATGTCGGTGTTTTCCCAGCGCCGCTCGTAGTTTCTCAATCTGTGAATTAGAACACTTTAAATCAGAGCAAGGGTTTAAGCTCGATCTATTTAAATGTTACCTCGACTTTGAGCTTGGCATTCTTGATACGCAATTGCTCTGTGGTTGTTGCTGTTGCTGCGACGTCGGTAGTGCCACAGTTTGGACAACCGAGTTTTCGCTTGAAAATTTCTCTCATTCCTTTATTTTCATCTCGAAGTTTCTCCATTTCGAAAATAATGTGTTCTCATGACGCTCTTGAATTGCCTGCATAAATAAAGAGTATGTTGAGAATTGTTGGGAGACGAGTCTCACTTCAACAAATTAAGAGGAATATATTTACATTGATATGAGACGTTTTGGAGAAACCAAAAGTAAAGACATGAAAGCTTATGTTCAAAATAAACAATATCATATCATTATGGAAATTCGTTTCTAACATGGTATTAGAGTTATGTCTTTAACTTAGTCATGTCAATAAAATGTTGAACAAAGAAATTAGGACTCTCGAAAGTGTAGTCAAAATTGACTCAGTATTGAACAAATGGTGTATTTTGTTGGAGGGCTCCAGAGAAGAAGTCGAGCCTCGATTAAGAGGAGGCTATTCAAGCGCTCCATAGGGCTCTGAGGCTCTATGATGTATTTTGTTCAGAGGAGAAGATGGTTGGAAGAGAAGTCTCACATTGACTATTTAAAAGATTGATCACAAGTTTATAAACAACAAATACAACTGTTTTTTGAGAAAATGAAAAGTAAGCTCACGATAGATTATGTTCAAAGTAAACAATACCATATGATTGTGGGGTTCGTGATTCCTAACAAGATGGTTAGACTTACTTTGATTTGGGTTCGACGATTTTGGAACCAAAACTTGACCTGCCTTGATGAAAGCCCTAGTAGCTTAGCAAGCTGCTGCCTTTGCTTCTCATCCGGATGTGGCGACTCTTTAAACAGCCTAAAAAATGGAACCCAAAGAAAAAGCATATCAAAAGATTCCAATGGCCATAACAAAAAAAAGTAGAGCAATGCGATGGATGAATTACGCCTCCATTTCTCTGATCTGCTCGTTGGTATGCCGATGATACTTCTTCCTTCTCTTTCCATGACACCCATCTTCATTCTCTTCATGCACTCCTCCACCGTCGTAATCGTCATCCGATCTCGACCTCACCGGTCCCGAATTCTCGCTACTAACCTCCACCGCCGTCGTCATATCATCTCTCCCGTCATCCACCTCCTCCATCTCAACATCCCCTTTCTCCCCCGCCTCGCCCCGGCGAAAAATCCCCGCCTCAAAAATTAAAAACAAACCCATCAGAGAGGCAGCTGGAAATTTTGATAGAAAACAGAAAATAGAATTACACATACAAGAGTAAGAGAAAGAGCCGGAGAGGAGAAGAAGTCTTTGGTGAAAGCGAGGCGATTATTATTGTCCGACATGTCGGCGCCCATGGATGGTAAAGAACGGGAGTGGGAGATTTTAAAGGAGTGGGGTGTCGTTCTGAATTTTGATGGATGTTGAGAGACTGGTAGGGGTTGACTGTTAGTTATTGGATGCAAGAGAGAAGATGTCGGCTCAACTAACTTCTAACTTGTTTCGATCAAAGATCCAACGGTATTTCGTAACGGATTCCTGCCTCCAATTTTAATATAATAATTAATAATATAATAAAATTTAATAATTGTGTAGTGAAAATTTTTAAAAACTATTTTTTCTAAAATAATCAAATGTATGGTTGCTAATCAATTAAATAATTTTCGATTTGGTGGTCTTTATACTTTTTTATAAAAAATAATGTGGATTAAATAAATTAAATAGTAAAATGATTAATCTTGAAAAAGTAATACAGATGTTCAGTAATGTTGAAATATGAAATAAAGGTTGAAACTAAAATTAATTAAGCTTACACATTTTATTGTTGTTAATAATTAATTAAAAGTAATGAGTAATGATTAAATGAAATTAAATAAATAAATAATAATCTTAAGAACTGGCCGAGAGTCAAACCAAAAGGTCAACGCCGGATTTGAGCATATTTATGTCTTTGTGTAATTAATGGGGTTGCCTCCAACTTTCTCTCAAAATATATAATATATTTTTTAAAAAATCATATATTAAAAAAAAATACTCATTAAATTTCAAATTTAACATTAACATTAACCTTTTTTACATTTTATTTTTTAAAATTTTAATTTTTTTTTTTACCATTTCACATATGAATTCAACATCAAATAGATTATCTCTTTTTTTAGTAGTATTATTTTAAAAATTTTCATTAATATTTTTGAAAAGTGTACTAAAAATAAGATATTTTTTTAATTTTTTTTTTTTAAATTAAAATATTAATAATTTTTTTGAAAACTTAATATTAATATTTATATCCAAAATTAAGGGTGAAAGTATTTTTTAAACAAATCTAAAATTCAAAAATATTTTATTAATTTAGTCTATATTTTAATAAAACATTCTTTTTATGTTTATATTTAGTTTCTATTGAATAAGTTCTCTTAAATTTAAATAATGTTTTATAAATTCTTAAAATATTTCAAAATTGGTGTTTAAAAATATATAAATAATTGAAATTTTTTACAATAGGTACTCATTAACCTCCCTGTATTGTCTATTTTAAGCATAAATTTTCATATTTTATTTTTGGTTTTTTCAAAAGATCGAGTACCAATGGAGATACATTCGTAACTTATAAATCAATGATCATCACCTCAATTAGTCTATGTCGTACTCCTTTTCAGCAATCCTCAGTAAGATATAGGGACCAAGTAAAATATAGGGACCAAATATTAATTCGCTCAAATTAAAGCAAGGAACAATAAAAGGACAAAATGTGAAAAACTATGTATGGCTTAACTCGATTCAATGTACACAAAAATCACACTTCTATTAAGAAGTTAGACATACTTAACTGACTAGAGGTTCCCTCCATTTAGAATATAGAAGCCAGCCGACCAACCACTTCAACTCATTTCAAGGTTTCGCCTTTTATAACACAATATCTTCATCTACACGACCCTAGAGACGAGACTCGAGATATTGATCTACACATACATCAATCTCTCGCTCTTATTATCTTAATGGCTACACTCTTGGTATCCCAAATGCTTCACTAAATTCATCTTCTCTTACACTAATAATATATTGATTTTTATTATCTAAAGGCGTTTTAATAAATATTGCATCTCTAAAATTTTCTATTTGGCTTTCGTAGATACCCAAGTTAATATACTTACTGTAACGACCTTATTTGCATTTTACATTGATGGAAGATAAGATACGTTTAAGACTTTAGACTTTCTAACAAACTTTCAAACATTTATTGTTACTTTTAAAAGTTTATGAATGTGTTTCAAAATGTGATATTAAAATATTTTTTTATCTTTTACCAAATTTAGAAATGTTTTTTGAATTTTTTTTAAATAATATATTGTAAGTTATTTAAAAAACTTAATGATGAAACTTTTTTTAAAATAATAAATAAAGTATTAATGATTTAAATTTTTAAAAAGTATTTTTAATTTGAAAATTAAACAATATTTTTAAAACCAAATGAAAAATTTTATAGGAAAAAATTAATTTTGATGGCGGGAATATTGACCTTTTTTATTTGATGTGTCATAATAGGATTGGGCAAGAAGATGCTTAATCTGAGCAGAAGGGCAGATGAATAATGGGCCGCTCCGTTCCGACAAAGAAGCACAGGTGTTAGCCTGCGAGACGAGCTCTCTCAAGCTTCCCGAAGATCACCACATGATTCATGAATCACTTCCTTCTTCCTCCTCACCGCTTTGCTTCTTTTAGCAGTGAACCAAACCATACTCAAATCCCCGAAACCGACAACTCCATTGCATTGCATTGCATCTGCTTTTAACCTCCGCTGCACGCTACCGCTCACCTTTCCCGATTTCCAGTGCTCAAATCCCTTCGTCTTCGATCCGAAACCTCATCATTGTTGCTCAAACCGTTCTCACCTTCTTTCCAAGCATTTTTGTCTCTCACTCTGCTCTCTCGCTTTTTTCTTCTGCGATCTCAGAGGTACGCTTGCTTCTCGCCTCTGGATCATTCGCATGTTATTGTTGATTTCCTCGAATGTTTGTTAAATTATGCGTATCGGTTTTATTTTTATAGATAATTTATGTTTTAGGTAATTTGTTGATGAAAATGATCGATTGTGTTTGCATTGATTGGATTGATTGTTACGATATGTTGACATGGATGTCTTCCTGATCGTGCTTTATAATTAATCAGCGGTCCGTGTAGACATGTTTTAAGTTGCGGCGAAGAATTAAGTTAAATTTCAATTATCTAATAGTTATGTTGATACTCTGTATTCACGTGGTTTTTGTCCTCTCTGCTGATTATGGCTGTCGTTTGGACATTTATGATCCTTTGGATCTTAAGATCGACATGGCGTCATCCTTATGAAACTCATGATCTCTTATCGTTTCTACTTTTGTTGGTTTGGTCTTTTTTTTATGCTGTATATCAATTTCCAGGGCCTATTGAGACCGCGTTCCTTATAGGCTGTTGTTCTACTCTGAATTTGAGGAGAGCTTGTTTATAATAATTAGAATTACGCCATGAGGGGGCGCCATGTTGTGGACATATCCTCGACGTACAAACGTGTAGCGTTAAAGGATCATGTAAATGCTTACAGTAAACAAGAAAGTCCAGGTGCGGTAGCAATGACTCTGTCAAGATTCTCATGATTGCTTTGTTGTCTGGAATGATACTAACTGCTTGACTACTCAACATGTTTTAGTGCGATTTACTGGATACCCTTCATGGAAACGCTCCTTGCCGCATGTAATTGTAGCGACTCTTGCTTCATTTTTGTTTGGCTACCATCTTGGGTTTGTCCTCAATCATCACCACTCCATATATCATTTTTATTATTTTGTTATCCAATGTTTTTCAAATTGATTTAATCAATTAGTTGCTTATCTTTGATGATGCAGTGTAGTCAACGAAACCTTAGAGAGTATTTCCTTAGACCTTGCCTTTAGTGGGAGTACATTGGCCGAAGGTACTTACAAAAACTAATATTTTAGGCTTTATCTGATGGCCATTTCTAAGAAAACATTTGAATTGAAAGCCAAATTCAAAAAACAAGAACAAGTTTTAAAAATTACTTTTTTTTTAGTTATCAAAACTTGACTTGAATTTTGAAAACATTCCTAAAAAGTAGATGACAAAACAAAGAAACTCATAGTGGAAGTCGTGTAAGCTTAATTTTTAAAAATCAAATGGTTACCAAACATGAGCTTAGTCTTTTGTTGTGTTTTTTAAAGGAAAAAAGTAATCAAATCTTTTCTTTAAATGAAGGTCTCGTAGTAAGTACATGTTTAGGTGGTGCCTTTATTGGATCTCTATTTAGTGGCTGGATTGCAGATGGGGTAGGGCGTCGTCGAGCATTACAGCTTTGTGCATTACCCATGATAATTGGTGCATCCATGAGGTAAGCATTATGTGAATCATCTTCCTGAGTGATCCATTTCTAGTCAATAGACCCACGTTTGTTCTTGATATTTGGTAAATATTCAAATGCTGTTTGTTAACTGTATTGATTCTTGTACATTCGTTTTTAATTTTGCAATATGAATGCAGTGCAACCACAAAAAATCTCTGGGGAATGCTTCTTGGGAGGTTATTTGTTGGAACTGGGATGGGCCTTGGCCCAGCTGTTGCAGCACTTTATGTTTCTGAGGTACATAATATCTTGATAAATTTGTACAGTTTGCCATTCTCTGGAATTAAAATTAAGATCCCAACTTCAGTTTGAGTTGCTTTTAGTGATTCCTTATTCATTTTGAGCAGGTGTCACCAGCTTATGTAAGAGGAACTTTTGGGAGTTTTACTCAGATTTCATCTTGTCTCGGTCTTCTGGGATCCCTATTTATGGGACTTCAAGCCAAGGGAATAGTGGGTTGGTAAGTAATGTCCAAGAAAATGTGTGGTTGAAGACTACATAAATGTTGTCGCTTCATATCCATCCAGAGCAGACAGTTCTCAATTTCTCTATGAACATCAACACATATCACAGTTTTTTTTACTAGAAGGTTTTCCCAGGTGGCGGGCTTGTTTTTGGGTATCAATCATTCCTGCTGCTTTACTTGCCCTTTTGATGGAGTTTTCTGCCGAAAGTCCTCACTGGCTTTTCAAGGTCATAATCGATATATAATTTCAATTGCCTCTTGGGAAGTTTATCTACTAATGTTTGAGAGTTCACTTTCTTCACGTGCTAGATTGTAAATTGGTTGAGTTCAAAGCAAGTTTAGGGCATTACAGGTCCTGTTTCTTTCCCCCAAACATGCACATATATAATTAATTTCACATAGATATATCATGCCTTGGCGAAGTGATATATCTAGTATTTGAGTCATTTTCCCAGGAATTCTGACTCAGTTAACCTTTTCTTTTCTTTTTTTTTTAATCTCTACTTCTTCCTTCTTGTTCATGTTGGTAAACCATCGTCTTTGATATCTCCCGCGTCCTACTTCATTTCATTGTTAGTTGCTCTGTTTTTCCACTGGCATGGTTCAATCCGTCAACCAGTTCCATATGACACCACAAGATACAATAGTTCCACCATTGACTGCCTTTATAATGATTATTCATCGTGCTTGCAATTTCAGAATGACAGCATATTTTTCAAGGATAAATTCAAGTTATATCACCAAATTCAAATAATAATCTGTTTCTACAATTCTGCATTGGTCTCTCATGAGTTCTATTGGATGAGCAACAAATTGAAGATCAAGCATCGCACACTCATATGCTACTTTATATTGTTTCATCCCGCTTTTTCATGCACCCTTTCATGTTTACATTTTGAAGTGATTTCTAACTTACTTTTCTGGGTTTGTTTCAGAGTGGAAGAACTTCTCAAGCTGAGGCTGAATTTGAGAAGCTTTTGGGAGAGGCACATGTTAAATATGCATATGCAGAATTGTCAAAGCCTGATGGAGGAGATGATACAGAAGCAGTAATGTTGTCAGATTTACTCCATGGCCGCCATTTCAAATGTAATGTATAATGTAATCACTGATCATTTAATAGTTTATCACATACTTCTAACTCTTTATGAAACTTTTTTTTTTCTCTAAATTATTACATTTACATGTCAAATTTTGCAGTGATTTTCATTGGTTCAACCCTTTTTGCTTTACAGCAGCTCTCTGGCATAAACGCTGTTTTCTATTTCTCTTCTGCTGTCTTCAAAAGTTTTGGTGTACCTTCAGATCGCGCAAATATTTGTATAGGAGTAGCAAACTTTTTAGGTACGTTGGCTCTGATTGGATGATCTTCCAGTTCCGCTATGAGACTATGCTGGTATATGCCTTTTATTTTTTTTTCATCCTTCAGGGTCAATTGTTGCAATGATACTGATGGATAAACTTGGAAGAAGGGTGCTGCTTCTTGGGAGTTTTTCAGGCATGGTAACTATTCCAGTGCTTTTCCGGGAAAAAAAAAAAAAAAAAAAAAAAAAAAAAAAAAANAAAAAAAAAAAAAAAAAAAAAAAAAAAAAAAAAAAAAAAAAAAAATCTCTTTGGTTTAGAAGAATGTCTTGGTAGAAACTGTGAGACTGAATTTCAAAACTAAAAGTATTATAGGATATTTCTCAAGTTCTATTACTTTTGTATTGTATATGGAATTTTCATTATAGAAAGTTCCTATAGGACCCTTTTTCAGGGATTATGGAATCAAAATAGATGTATGGCTATGCTCTTTATAGCATCATTTGGTCCTATCTAGTGTCGCAAACTACTCCTGTATGAGACCGATATAACTAAATTCGGTAAAACTAAAAATCCAATACAAATTTCTTTTTGGTGAGCCCCTTGATTAGGTTGTACTTTCTACTTGCAATACCATTTTTTTTTACAATGCGATGTTTTGTTCTAGGTAGTGTCAATGGGCCTCCAAGTGGTTGGAGCAAGCTCATTTCCATCCAGCACTGAAGCATTCTATCTGTCTGCTGGTGGCATGTTACTGTGAGTAATTAACATCCTAATACTGAAGTAAAACTCGGAATGCTTAGCTAGACAAATGAATGTAGAATGTTCTATCAATATGATTTTTATCGTGTATGTTTTGACTAGGAGAAGATGAATTATGCAGGTTTGTTCTGACGTTTTCTCTTGGTGCCGGTCCCGTTCCTAGTCTCCTCCTATCAGAAATATTTCCTGGTCAAATTCGAGCAAAAGCAATGGCATTTTGCATGTCGGTGCACTGGGTACTAAGTTTCTCCGCTCAACCTGATATGACGTTGTTAGGATGTTCCATCTCTTTATTTATCTGCTGTGCTGCTTTTGATCTTTGCTTCCATATTTGATTTTATTTTACAATCTTGGAAATGGAACAAAATTTAAAGGGGAAAACACCCGGCCTCCATAAAACAAGCTAATGTATCGATAATTAAACTTCATTGGATGTTTTGTTTTGTTTTGGCTTGTGGTTCCTTCGCTGTTTATTGTCTTCTCTTCTGTTTTCCCTTCTTATGCAACAAGAAAAGGTTATGGGAATTAAGGAAAGGAAACCTTGTAGATGCCTGACATTCTTGATGGTTGGGACATAAACAGGTGATAAACTTTTTTGTCGGTTTACTCTTCCTGCCATTACTGGAGCAAATAGGAGCCCAGATCCTGTACACAGTTTTCGGTGCATTTTGCTTGATATCAGTTATTTTTGTGAAGAGAAATGTAGTGGAAACGAAAGGAAAATCACTTCAGGAAATTGAAATGGCACTTCTTCCAGTAGAGTAGAGGTACTTGATACGTGGATCAAATCATCCTCTTCTTTGTTTCTTTCAGAAATATGATAAAAGACAATAGTTTCACAATCATTTGAACTCTTAATACTCCATCCTCAAGGCTTTAAGAATTTTTCTTTCAGAAACATTGTGCAATGTCCTGATATAGGTTTCCGTTCTTCCCATTATTCTTTTCAGGGAGAAAGCAGATAATTTATCTTGCAAATATTGAGCACAATCCCTTGTTCGAAGTGAGAGATTACAAGAGCGCAGAACAACTTCTGAGTTTAAAGCTTCTAAACCTTTGCCCGGTTGCTTGCTAGAATGGTATCTATTCTCTTCAGGGCTGTCTCATATTTTGACCTCTATTCAGGTCATTGATTCTTCAAACATTTTCACTTTTTTTTTGCTCTTTTCCTTGGTAATGAAAAGAAAGTTCAGCAAATGCCATGGATCGCGCAGTAAGTTTATAGCTTGTAGAAGTTAATACAATATAAAGTTTAGTATTTCTATAAACTTGAATTATACTCTAAAATCATGGACACCACTAGTGGATGTCAAAAATTATAACCACATGACAATATGCATCAATATGACAACACTTGGTAAACATTTTTTAAAATAATAACGTAATTAATTAACAGCAAAGATAGAAACCAAAGAATGATATCAATTTGCCTGGCACGCAAGAACAAAGATGTTTTTTTTTTTATGGAAATATTAAGTCATTAAGAGACTTAACTATTGGAACGTAACTCAAGTGATGATTAGACCCGTTTCAAGATATATATATATATATATATATATATATATATATATATATTATCAATCTCTTTGTGGAAATGGAAAGACCAAAGAAATAAATAAGTACTCAATTTCACTCTAGACCATTTGGATTAAAGAACACAGAAATTTTCCAGAGTAAATTTTTGCAGGGTAAAGAAAGAAGCATATTATTTTATCGTGCAACTTCTGCAGGGTAATTTAATCACAAACTAATCAGCGAGTACCTGAACACTACAGATGAAATCGGGAAGTAAAAAAGAATGAGCCCCCTACTAGGCCTACTACACAATACAAGATATGCCTTTCCAGGGAATTTGATTCTCTGTAAGCATGTGATGATGCTTCAAGCAAAAAAAAAAAAAAATTAAATGCAACGTTGAAGCAATTTTTCTTTTTCTATTAATATAACTATACTTGTTATTGTATTTGCTCCCTTTGCCTGGGGGCGCAATCACCGTTTTAGATTTGTAGTAGAAGTACCTTCAACATGCCGCTGCATGGCCACCACAGGCTCGCTACATCTGGAACATCTAAATGATTGAGCTGCCATGCATCGCGTCCGAAGGCAATAGTAACAGTATCTGGCAGATAGAAAAAAAGAAACATAAATAGGAGTTGCTAATAATTTTCTCCATCTCATCCCTATGCTGATGAGACTGTGAGAATAAATGTATACAATTATACAGACATGAAATCCAGCTATCCTTGGAAATACATCTATGAGTGTTGCTCGACAGTTAACATCAGAATTTCAAATCTTCTATTGTTCGTTTCAATTTCTGCTGGTGAACTTTAAGAAGCTTTGACTGTCAAACATGCAGGAAATTCAAAAACATTGGAGAAAAATACTGATTGCGAATTAGACTTGTTTGTCATACTTCTACCAAATATATAATTGTACGATCATACTTGATTTGGACTTTTCTTTTAGGAAACTTTGCAATAGACATTGAGTTAATTAAATTTTGTTTATTTGGTTAGCATAGAACTAACTACATCAACCAGCATTCTTATATTTATAACATTTATTTTATTACCGAATTCAAGAAAAAACAAATTAAGTATTTGATTGAAAAGTATAATATGTATGTCTGAACTTTTATTCCAGTATCCTACATTTTTGGAATAAACACAACTAATTTTTTTGTTTTTTTTGTTCCTTTTTTTATAGGACGAATAGTAGTTTTTTGGTTTAACAATACAATGATGTCAGAAAACTCACTAACCTGTGTTGACAAGGCAAAGCCAGAAACGGAATTGTAGGATTTGCCAAGCAAATTGGACAAGCACTGTCATCCTCGGCTGAGCTTGAAGGCTTATCCTTAGAAAATGGACTAAGAAAGTTTCGTACAGTAGAAGAATTTAGAAGAGGAAGGAGCAATAGCAACATTTCCTGTTATCAGCAGAAAAAATTAAACGTTAAGGAGGACAAATGCTCCCTACTATGGACAATAACGTTATAATTAGCATGGCATTGGGCAAAAAAATTGAAACCCTTCTTCCCACATTCATGCATGCATGCATGCATAAACTAAACAATACTGAACCACTGAAAACCAAATGAAAAACCTATATGAACGACTTGAAACTTGAAGTACATTTAAAGTCTATCTAGATGAAAATATTCATCAAACATACAGTTCTTCCATGCTAGACTTAAAACAGGACACAATCAGAGAATATGTATCATGCTTGACTTGAAATAGAATGCCACTTCTAGAGAAAATGGAAGAGGGTGACGAGCTAATCATCATATGGTTAAGAACAATAACACGTTCCGATAAAATATGTGTCTGAAATGAAGAAAGAAATGTGACAATTAGTTCTAAACCAGAAAAGAAAAGAAAATCCAATGTTCTGCAACAAACTATAAAGAAGAGAAAAAGTTACCGAGAATTCATTCCACACTAACTGGCGATTCATATACTCAAAGCTTACAGCCCTGTTCATATTAGGACTCCCATAAACAAGCCTGGCTCTGAGAACCCTTTCCACAAGATTTCTATACCTGCACCACACCAAAAATAAGATGCTACAAAACAAGTTGACCAAGAAGGTAGATTACTCATGATAACCGACATCCACCACTTTTATATGATTGCCATAACACAAATACTTAAACCATTTAAACCAATACAACTGAGTGACAAGCATATGAGAGAAGGATCATCGACACAAGTTTCAACAATATGACTGCAGAAGTAATTAATTGTCTCAGCCTATGTCTAGATTGAGTGAAAAGTAAAGCAGTCAAATGTATCCGCAGAATGCTAATTCAGGCTTAAACAGAATAACGCAATGCTCCCAATTCATTGGCAGACACATTAATATAGAAACCCAACATGTCCTTTGACTGATAAATAAAATGAAGCATTCACTCTCTAGTCCCTACCGACAGAAACTTGTATATTATCGATGGAAAAATAATTTCATTTTCCTTTTTCCATCGCAAAACAAAACAGAAGAAATGGAGGGAAGTCACTAAGCCCTGAATCTGATAAGTATGCATTTTACTTGAACAACGTATGTGTGTATATATATATATATAGTATACATTATATATTCTTAATTTATAAGAAATCATTTCATTGATAGTACGATCACAGAATCCTTTGAAAACACCTTTTTAGCATGAATTATGCACAAATAACTCCTTCAAGCTGTTGGAGTGGAAGAGTCTATTGAGAAGGAAACATATCGAATGCTGAAAACCATACCTTCCTGTGTACAGAAATATGAGCAAGTTGCCAAATGCAGCAGCTTTGTATATTCCTTCTATGCGCTGTATCAAAAGCCATGCTCGTCTAGCCAGTGACCTCTGAACAAAATACAGGGTTAATCTCAACAAACATCCAAAACTAGAAGGTTGTCCACGTGGTAGGGGTGGTGACTTTCTGAAAACCAGTACCTGCTCTGAATCTCCCCATCTACGGAAGGCAGAAAATGATTGTAAACGAGTCCACATGTATTGACCGCCCACGGTGGCCACGCAATACCAAATCTTTTGAGCAACTGTGAGGCCAGGTCCTTCCAATCCAGTTCTAACTGTATTGCAGAAGAAGTCCAGAGCCATGAGTAAATCAAGTAGTTTAGCAAAAAATTTAATAATGTTTTCATGAATGGAACTAGTAATTGACAATCGTATTGCTAATTTCTATGAAGATTTAATCATAGCAGTTCCATGGCTGCTTGAATTTTAATTCTAAGAACTTCATAATGAATTTATAATTATCTTACAATGTCAAGTTTGGATAAAACTGATATCATTCCTACATCATCCTGACCATAACAATCGGTTAAAAAAGAAGCATAGCAGGAGCTGTTTAGACCACCTTACCTTTTCCTGGAACCTCCAATGCACGTTCATCTCGGTACCGCAAATTCATGAGAGAAATTCCCGGTGTGGGCTTGTCTACCCAAATTGAAAACCGCCAAATAAGGAACTCCAAAAAAGCATCAAGCTCAGCTTCATATTGAAACAACATTCCTGGCTAATCCACCAAAGTAGAACAAAATACTGAATGACGCCTAGATCACTTCACTAGCCAAGTATTTACATTTCGAAGTCAGAATAAGGAGCAACAGATACCTTCATCAAAGCAAAGACCTTAACCAGCTGTTCTTTCAACATGGCCGACATTTCAATATCTAGCCGTGCCGCATCCACTTGATTAACTTTCGATATCGAAATTGGAATGGGCGACTACAGAATAGACAGGAAAAAACATAGAGAGCATCATAAATTAGTACAGATATACCAACCAATAACAAATTAAAACAAATGCAGTTCAAGGTGCACGTACAAGAAAATCTGACTTTCACATGACTTGATTAACGAAACAAACAATAAGCCAGAAGCTCAACTTACACGAATGGAACATTTCCAACCATATCGCATAGATGATCATCGGTAAAGCTATTTATTACAAACAAACTCAAATATATACAAATAAATAAAAAAATAAATACGAGACATACACCGTAGAGTCGAGGCAGCTAAGAAGAAATAAAACAGACATTCGTGAAGAAGGATTAGGGCGAGAGAGAGAAAGAGAGGGATATGAAGGTACCAGGTGAGAGTGGGAAAGAGATTTCCAGCGAGGATGTAGTCGCTGATAAGCACGACTCCACGCATCTTCAGGAGGTGGTGGAAGATTGAAGTTGCTGGTGGAAGGGGGCGAAGCAGTGGAGGAGGCTGCTGCTAGGGCTTCTAAGACCATGACAAATACCAGGGTTGAAGAGAGAAGCGGTGAAGAAGAAGGAGCTCCGTCGTGCTGGTAATGGCGGAAGAGGAACTGTAGAAGAAGAAGAAGAAAAGTGATTGACGAAGAGCGACGCCAAACGCGGAGCAACCGCTACCTCATCAATCACCTCCGTTTGGGTCTGTGTGCCCTTTTTTTCTTTGGGCAACACAAATTGGATCCTCTGCCCAACCAAACACGGTCCAAAAAAAATAAATAAATAATAAAAAATAATCCTCAAAATAAAATAAATATTATTATTTTTATTTGATAAAAGATAAATTATTTTAATTTGCCTGCACACATGAATACTAACATTATTTTAGTTAATTCTAAATTTTTAAATATTTTAAATTTCCCCAAGTTAAAATGCTTATTTATCTTTATATTTAATCAAATATCGATTCAAACCCTCACA